CAGAACGGATCAGAAAATGAAAAACTTGCATAGCAGAGTTTGTGTCCCTTCCCCACCACCCCCCTCCAAAAAGAAACCTTGGTGGTTTGGAATGTCTTCAAACTCATGAGCGAGTTGCTGGGAAGATGTGTTATTAAACAGTACAGGCAACATGGTCAACATGTGTAATACAGTGTATTGAAAGACAGTGCTGTCTATTGTTAGATATCTAACATGTATGTGCATGGATGCAAATATTTTTGATATATCCAGTTGTAATCGTGCACACAAATTCTAGTTACAGCTCTGAACAGTATTTGAAGTTGTGATGGGTTTGCCCTTGGCTGGGGGCCAAACCACACACCCACTCAACACAATTCTGCTCCCCACTCAAGGACAGGGGAGAGAATTAAAGGGGTAAAGGGGAAAAAAGGACTCGTGGGTTGAGATAAGAACAATTTAATAACTAAACTACAATAATATTGAAAATAATACTATATACAAATATACAAATGAGTGACACACAGAGATACTGCCCCCCTACCTGATGACCAAGGCTCAGCCTGTTCCGGGCTAATGATCCCGGAGCAGGGAGAGTCCTGAAACCGCACTCGCGGAACAGAGATAAGAGTCCGAGTGTCCCACACCAAGAGCTGACTGGCATTGGGGGCAGGGGAAGGCCTTGGGAAAGTGACCACCTGGAATGAGATGACCCAGAGCAAAAGAGATCCGGAACCAAAAAGGGGCCATCTTCCAGAGGGTCCTCACCTATATACTGGGCATGACGTGTATGTTATGGAATAGATTATTGGCCACTCTGGGTCTCAGTCCCGAACCCAAGATCAAATCCTGGGCTAGTAACTGGGACTGTGCTCCCTCCCAGCTTCTCCTGTTTGCAGACAGCCAGAGAAGCTGAGAGACCTTGGCAGCCACATAAACATCGCTTCTTATCAGCTTTCTTCTGAGCACAAATCCAAAACACAGCCTCTTGCTAGCTATTATGAAGAAAGTTAACTCTGTCTCAGCTTAACCCAGGACAGAATTGTAAGAGATTGACTGTGTTAAAAGATTACAAGAGCAAAGGTATTCTGTGCAGGTCTTGCTATAGCTATTGTTTGTACTGCAGTACTTAAACACTATTGCTACCTTTTATTTCTGGAAGGTGGATTAAAAACCAATGGGAGACATGGTAATTGCAATTTAAATGGTGAAAAGTTGCAGTGCTGTCATGGCAATTGCTCATTGTTTTGTCTTGGTCCTCTGACGTCATTGTCCTTGTCTTTTTCTTGTCTCTGCTTTCCCATTATGCCATTGGCAAGGAGTTGAGAAGTTAGTCCATTACTTCTGTGATAAAGCGTGGTACGGTACAACTTCAGATTTCTTCCCATCTCCTCACACATTTTCACTGTTGGTTTTTTTTTGCCCTATGCATGATGCATGTCTATTGGAGATGTGCATGCACCTCTCAGATTTCTCATTGCTTTACTTCCTTTTTTCCTGAAAATCCTGCAGGGAGAAAATGCCTTTATTTCATTCTTCAGAGGTATTATGTAGGGAATTGAGATGGGGATTGAGGTTAGATACAGAATAACCAAAGCAAAACTGAAGGGCATGACCACAGTGATTTTACTTCTTTATCTGTATAACATACTTGCCTCAGTTTTCCAACACAAAGCTAATATAATCTGTGTTTCAATAACTGTGTAGTAATGGTAATCCTCTCTGTGGATATGTTGTCATCTTTTTCTGGATGATGTAACAACCAGTTTTACTTGAGGGAATTAAGAGGAAAAAAATCTCTTAATGTGGTAGGGACTGTAATTTATTAGTTTTGATTGGTGACTCAATACATGCAAGTATTTGAAGCTCCTGCCAGTACAGAAAAGTCTGTTTGTTGTGCAAAAAGGAGCACGTGCACAAAGCATTTTGTCTAATTTACTTTCAGTTTGAGGAGAGATAATGTTCTTCAGTTACATTGTACTTGAAATGTATCCCAAAGCATCCCAAAGTAATGCAGGTGTTTGTCCACCTGAATATTTTCTTTATGGGACAAAAATAAAAGTCTGGCTAGCATGGCAGTCTACGCCAAGTCATGATCTGTCATCCCTGCCCCTCTCACTCCCCTGAAATATTATTGAAAGTGTACTTAAAGCAATGCAGATGATTTAAAGACTTCCATGAAATAAAATACTACACCTAGAAGGTGGAATGCTTTATCTTTCTATAGCCCACTCCTTGTGATGTAATTCAGCAAGTCCTGCTGCTGGCTGTTTTTTTGACTAATAAAATGGTCATAATTTATTAAGACTTCCCTAATAAAAGGAAAACTTGTGTTTAAGGCAAAGATGTAATCTGTGGATGAAGATTATGCAGTTTTCAGTGTCAGATACCTTGTGAACTTGCATACTTTGGAAGTGGTATTTTCTCCTTTTCAAGTTGAATGTTAATGCCTGTAGCAATTTCAAGATATTAAAATGTGTAATCATGATAATTGGACAGACTTTGACTAAGTAGAAATACAAAATTAGAAGAGAGTACGGTATTTAAAACAACTTAGCAAAGATGATACCATAGCTTTAGTGTCCTCATCATTCTAAGCATGTAGCTGTTTTCTACCTTTGAATTGCCAGCTTTCTCAATAGTAAGCTGCTTACACCTTTTTTAAGGTTATGAAGGATAATGAGGAAAATACGTATTTATTTTTATATGTAAAAATGCAAAACTTTTCAAATGGAAAAGCTCAAATAATAACTAATTTTTGTCAAAACTCAAAATAGCATTATCAAAAATTTGCTTCTTTGTTTTTTGTTTAACTCAACTTTCCATACAAACTTAGTTTCTTCTGTAATGGTTATTTGATATAAGGTTAGGATTTTTAATGCTCAGAATAGATATTTATCTGCATATTTGAAGACTGACATTTAGAAACCCTTTCTAGGTGAGGGGAAAATTTTTTTCTGATAATTATTTTTACATATTAGAATTTGACACAATACTGTGTGCTATAAACATACTAAATTTTGTCTTCAGGTAGGATTAGGAAATTTGAATTACTTGTTGAAATACTTGTATGGGGATCAGGTATATAGTACTTTAGTTTCTGCACTCAATTTTTAGCAGTTTTGTTTTTTGCAGGTGAGGTCTCAAATCAATAAATCATTCTGGCTAACATCTGTCTGTCCGCTCCTAAGCTTGAAGGATAATGACTTCTGTAGCTCATTATATAAACACTGAAAAATTACAAAAATATCTCGAGGATTCGTTTTTTTCAAGCTGTAGCTCTCTTACTATTCAATTATTAATTGTGGTTAGTACTTCCTTCCTGTAGGATTGCTTGGTTAAGAAGGATTCGTAAAGTTAAGCTAGATTTGGTCATGTGAGGAATAATGTTTTGATACTCATTTGACACATTTTTTAAGGCTTTTTTCTTTTTTTCTTCTCCTCCTCCCTCTTTCCAAAACAATTGTATTCAGACTGCTCAACATACTTGCACATACCTGTCTATCACTTGCTGAGGTCACTGCTCCAGCTTAAATATTGCCTTTGCTCACAGATAGAACCAGTATATTGTAAAGATATTCTAAAGGGAAAAGCTGCTAGTAAATCAAAATTAGATTGAGAAACCTTGATATTTCTTGCATTACTATTATTTTTTTTTCTTGATGAGGAATTTTGAGGATTCAGTTTTCAGTAGTAATCCTTCCAGGGAAAAGATTAAAAGCTTAAAGAATCCCAAGACATACTATTGTCCTAGAAATGTAACAGGACTTCAGCATGCACAGCTATCATTATTCCTGCTGATTCTAAGAAGACCTAAAAAGACCAGACAAAATAATTGACTATCTCATTTAGAGGCTGTGAAGAATTCATGAGTCACTGAAGTGACATTTTTAGTCAAATATCTGAAAGACAAATATTGCTTCTTTTTTACTGACTGTATTTCATTAGTAAACAAATATTATAAGCCTGTTTACTATGTCCATTCAATCTGTCATTGGGTAAGATTTCAAGTAGTTTAGGGATAAGACTAGCCTGTAGTATTTCAGTTTCTCTCCATTATAAAGAAAATTAGAAAATCATCCAAACCTGAAACTTGCTAAAACTATAGTTTAACTGTTAATGGGTTTTGCCGTGAGTTGCAGAATTTTTAATAATTCTTCCAGGATGTGTATACAAGTTGCAGGTCTAGGATGTGTCTATGAAGGTAGCGCACACATTAAAGTCTTTTTACAGGGAAGAGCAAAGAGAAAATATAAATTAACCAGAAGAGGTACTGGTAATTCTCTTGTCTGATACACATCTGATCAGATTGTATCTTCTGATAAAATGTAAAATCCTCATTAAGTTATCTTTATCCCTTGGTTATCAATGTAGTAGTATATGATATCTAGCTTCACACGTAACCTGTTGTACTGCTTTGTTGAAGATGGTTTCTTTATCAGACCATTTGAGATCCATTCAAGCTAAAACAGCTAACTAAGTCTATCCTCATTTACAACACACCTGCATCAAATTTTCTGGCCTCGGTAAGACAACGAAAATGCAATGTAAATTGACATGGTAGATTAAACTCCTTTCCTGCCTGTACAGTATAGAACATTGATAAAAGGCTTGGGATAGTTAACTGGAGTATGTGGTGAATAGAAATTAAAAGATGGATACAGTCTGATAGCTGTTGCATTTGTTTATTAAGCACTTGAATCAGAATTGCTGTTCTTAGACTGTTCTGCAGATTTAGGTGAAATCATCAACCATCAGCCTTTATGTTTCTTTTTTAAGCTAATTGATTTCTTCTTTGTCTTTTATGTTGTGTATTTCAGTGCTAGTATAATTTTTTTCCACTTAAGTCACATTTGTACACGTCCCATGAACCATCCTGTTTTGCGAAAGTCAAAGTTTTGATTTAAAAAAACACAGATGTACAGCCCTTATCAAGCATCCAGTCAGCACACATTGGATTCAGAGTGTTCTCTGGTGTTTTCTTTGCCTAATATATTACTGTATTCTTTTCTCTTTAACAGCCTCAAGTACTACAGCCTTCCAGCAGCCTTCCCAATTCCACAGACCTCGCCCAGGGAAAACTAATAAAAATGCCACATATCGAGGCCCACAGTGAATATCCTAAACATGGTCTGCATGAAAATAGCAATCATCTGAATCAAAATGCTGCAAATATGTCTCTCACAAATAGCCTGAATTACGTAAACTCTTTAAAGAGCATACAGTTAAACGTAAAAGATGAGAATGCATCATATTTGAAAAATAAAAATACTGAAGACCCTGGAGGGGTGGCTAGTAATAAAGAAGGTACATTACCATCTCATTCCTGTTTTCAGACCTCTACACGAGTTGATGCTAGAGAGGTTCAGACTGCATTAGCTGGAAAAAATCAGCCCTCGTTCACAAACCAGGCTTCTCGGCCAAAGACTTTAAGAATCGCAAAGCCCCCAAATGCTTTAGTGCCTCCTACGATGGCTGTTCTCGCACGACCTGCAAATCATTCCACTGCTTCCAAGGAACCTGAGCTTCTACCATCAAGTAGTTTGACTCAGCTACAGCCAACATCTGGTCGTGATAACCTAAAGGGTAAACAGAGTCAGAAAGTGTCTAAACTTCGCCCACCAACTATGTCCTTTGTTAAATCTAAGCAAATGAGCAGTCAGAAATCCACACCAGTGTCTGCAGAGCCTCCAAACACCTGTTTGAAGACTAACCTCCCAAAGCCACCAGTACAGAGAAAGGAAAATGTGCAAACACAGAATACCAGTTTGCACGCTGGGGATAGTTTGCCCTCTAATTGGCATTCCCGCCTCCCTAAACCAAAGACACATTGAGAACATACCTACATCTCATTGAATAATGCCATATGTTAAACTCCTCCCTTTGTCTTGATGGCCTTTGAGGCTGCTTTATCTACAGCCTGCAAATCCTGAGTGAATATTAAAAATAGCATCTTTCTTTAGTGTTTGCCTACTCCATCCGGTTACGTTATGTTCTGAAGGTCATGATATGAGCTGTGCAGCTTCTCTTGAGAGTGTTTTATTATATCGTAGGTCTGTATTAAAGGCTTTATTACCTGGTGATCTTAGTAATTAAGCAAGTACTGAACTCTGTGGTGACCACAAATACCAGAATGCTGCACTATTTATTTCAGGATGGCAGAAATAATTTCTTATCTCTGTTGATTTGAGCTATTAGACAATGAAATTACTATTCAGTTTAACTTCTTGGTTCTGAGTACTCATTAGGTTAGAGCAGTGGAAAATTAGATGTACTAGCAGATGTTTTATTGGCCATAATTCTGACTCTGTATTCCATAGGCCTATGCAAAAATCCTTGTATTTATCATTATCTCAAGACTGACATATTTAATGTTATTTAATCTGACAGGTTGGGTGGGTTGTGTTGTTTTGTTTTGCTGTAATCTGAAGTTGCTGCTTTTTTATCCCATTGTCACTGTTCACAGACAATAAACATATTTCACAGGGTGAAATGAATCTTTTCCCTTAACATCATAATTTGTTAAAAGATAGTGGTATGTTTTTATTGTGTTGAATAGACACATTACCAGGTAGATTCCTGAAACACAGTGCTAAGGATATTTGTGCACAACCTTCCAATACAGGCTCTGGGAAGTAGGGAGCCTCTGGGAGTAGGGGTCCGTAACACCTATGTTGAGGTTGCACAACATGCATTTTAATTAATATTTTTTAACTTTTATTGTGCTACTTGTATTTATTGATTCCTGTTTAATATTGAAAGACTCTAAAGTACCTGACTTGAAACTTTGCACAAACTTTGCCATATCTGTAACATTTGAAATTATTCTACAGAGTAAAATATCTATTAAAAAAGCAACTATTTAAAAAAAAAAAATTAACCCCTTTATTTGCTTTCAGCAACCCTGTTATGTCCTAATTCAGAGCTGGTACTCTTAAGAGTTTTTCAGAGATGTGTATTTGTATTTTGGGTTTTTTGTAAATATTTTTTTTTGTAATTTCTAATAAAGTGCATGATAAATGGGAAGGAGCTTTTTGGGGATATAAAGTAAAAAAAAAAAAAACAAAACAAAAAAACACGAACATTTTTCTGCTCTGTAGGAGAAGTATTTTTCCTGAAAGTAGTCGGGAAATATATGCCCATCATGGTGCAGCTATGGGACCGTGATGCATGTGCTGTGAGTTAAATATATGCATATCCAGTGAAGGTTTAAAGAAACTTAATGTTATGTCCCATCTCCGATTCTTCCCTTCTTTCCCATCACTGCCTCCTGGATGTTACTAGTTGGGGTGTTTTTTTTCTGTTCTTGAATTGGTTTTAAAATCATCAGAAGGCTGTTACAATAACTTCACTCAAAATCTGCTCCTGAACAGCCTATAAGTAAACATGGTAATAGTTTGTTCTAGACTTTGGCTACAGGATGTTGACATGTTACGGTATTTTCTTTGAGAGAATTAAAGTGAATAGGTACAGACATTTCATAAATAAGTTCAATAATCAACTTCTGTAATATAAACCATTTGACTAGGGGCATCCTGATGGATACCTTCGTTGGATGAGAGAAGGAGCAAAATATAATCCTCTCCTGAATTTATCAGTACATAATTAATATTCCAGAAAGATTTTGGATTTGTCATGCTGTAATTTTTTTTTAACTAACAATGAAGTGGAAGAATGAAAAGCCTAGGGATAAAATGGGTAGGGTAGAGGTTCTATTTCAGCACTTCTTGTATCAGTCTAAAATAAGAGACCTGCAGCTCTTTCTGTCAACTGGGGCAAAGACAATGTAAGCAAGAACAACGGTAACATTAATTGTTACTGTTGATCTAGAATCAAAATAAATACAATTCAAGATTGCTGTAACAATTATTCTCCAGGAAAACATTCATTCTTTCCTTGAAAACCATTGAATTAGATGGCCTTCAGTGTAAGCAGTTACTTTTGATAAGAAAATAAAACTGACTTTTTATGTTTCCCAAAACTAGCTCCTGGCACCTCAGGAGTTTAAAAACTGCTGAGGGAATGACCAGATTGCTGGTTCGTTTTCTGGTCCATATGGATTTCTATGGAAGGTGAGTTTTACTTTCCTTGAAGAGAAACTAAAGAGAAACTAATTTTATTTGTAGATGATTTTGTTTAAAAAGATGATTTTCATTTAATGCTGTTCACAGATATTTTACCACAAGTTCTTTTGCTTCTTATTCAGGAGGTATCACCAGCCCAATATAGTGATGTTAAAATTTTTATGTTTACGTTTGAAAGTATAGATATCTATCTGTCTGCACCGTCACTGAAAATTGAGTGAAGCAAAAAGATCATCAGGGTTTTCATAAAAAAAGAAGCTAGTCCTTAATTTATTTTTTTTTCCCAGAAGAACAAAAATATATTTATTTGGAGGTGGAGGATATTCTGTGTTAAAGGAGCATAAGTAGATTATGTTCTTTGTTATAGCATTTCCCCATTTTGTTCTGACAGATTAGTGAGACACTGAGCTGGAGACAGCAGGATTTGATCACACATGACACAGATGCTAGCCTGAATTGTATTTATATTCAGCTGCTAACCTCGCATTCCTCTAAAGACAACTACATGTTTTGGCTCGTCAGACTTTATCAGGGAAGGCTCTGTTGCATGTACAGTAAGTCCGGAGTACGAGCAAAGCCTGTCAGTAGATGGGCAACTGAGAGAAGGAGTGAAGTGAAGTTTGAAGCTTTGCTTCAGGGAAGGCCAGGGGTCGGCGAAGATGGGTGAGAGGGCACTGTGTAGAGTTTGTCAAATGGGATTAAGTAAGTATTTTCAGGTAATGCATCTACCTTATGGAAGGTGCAGATATATCATCAGTACTGGTGCAGATTATCCTTAATGAATAGATTAAAGGATTTGATATCTTCAGGGGTTTTTTTAGGTTTCTAGAACAGGTTTATTGCCATTTTTTTGTTTTGATTTCTCATTCTTTTGTGCAATATTCACAAAAATATTATAACTACTGTTCAGTATGTGTGTACAGAGGCAATTACGCATTTTAACAAGTGAATAAACACAAAAGAAAAAACCAGAATTGCACTTTAAGTGAGCTTTATTGCTTGGAGTTGTGCCTAAAATAATCTAGATGCCTCCTGCTATGTGTGGCTTTTGTTTGAAACTAACTTCCCTGATAGTGTTGCTGTTTCCAAGGTATCTTTACATCTCTTTCACAGAATTGATATGCACTCTAGCATGTTTAAAAATATTCATATTGCCTACTGAGTTTTTGTTGTGGAATGACTTTAGTTTAACTGTGGAATTTTAACACTGATGATGCAGCCAGATTATTACCTTCCCCTTCCCTGAAGCTAGCTCTTCCTACTGCCAACCAGGGCCAATGGCAAAACTTCTCTAGGACTAGCATAGCCCTTAAAGAATAATGTTCCCAGCATATGTTTTTGTTTAAGAAGAGAAGTGCAATATTATGTCTTAGACTTTCTCAAAATAATCACAAAGGCCCAGAAAATCCAAAACAGCACAGAATTTTTCATATCGTCCCAAAAAAGCAGGTCCTTCAACTTCACATCTCATAGCAGTGAGACCAGACATAGCAACTAGACCACATCATAGCTCAGTAAAATTAATTTCATCCTTGATCTAAATGCTGATTTGTTGTAACGTTACCAGAAAACTGAATACCATTTGTGTGATTTATTTCACTTGCATGTCACAACCATATGCACCTTCTAAAGTGTCATACTTGGGTAGGTTGCATGTTGGGGGGATGAGTATTTCTGGTTTTTGCATAGCACATAATCCTGTTAATGTGGACATTTTCTTGCTAGACAAGGGGAAATCTTTTCTTGAATTGGGCTTCCGTAGCTGTTTCTTATCTCGTTATAGTGTTTCTGAGCAGAATGAATTTAATACATGGTCCTGGTGGTAGGTTTCAGTATAGTAATCTTACAACTATGCTGTCAAGGAAATTCAGTCACTGTTATGGTTAAGCTGCTCACTGCCTACTTAATTGTAAAAGCATTATAATAAAAACAATAGAATTCCAGTGTCAGTGAAATCTGAAATTCAATTCTAGCTAAAACAAGAGGTACCTGTACTATCTGCTTTGTTGTGTTTGTTTTTTTAACACAGACCAGAGTAAATACTGTATATTGGAATTTGCTTGTAAAGTTGATTAAAAAAACCCTGTATGTAAAAATTCTTTCCTCAATGTTGCTCTAGTGAATAAAAATAAAAGTCATAATTCTAATAAGTATCTCTTTCTCCTGACTGTTCACTTGTGTGGTTTTTTAAGTCATTGTGCAGAATTATAGGACTGTAGACAGGAAATTCTGGGGGAGGGAGAGATTATTGCTTATGCTTACAGTGTTTTCTCATGGAATTGTCTTTCTCCAACAGACTTGCAGGCTTGTAGCGTGAGACCTTTTTATTAAAGAAAAAAGACAATGGGGGAAAAAAGAGACATGGAAAGCTAAACATTTTGATGTGTTGTTTCCAGATGAACAAGAACTGATGTGGCTAGGTTTTAAAGGTATGTTATTTCATCACTAGTGCACAGTTGAAGAGAGGAGTATTTAATAGAGTTTTCTTAGGTAACTAGCTAGTTAAAATTATTATCATAAGATACTAGTTCAAGAAAGTTATTTCCCCACAGGAGTCCAAATCAATACAATGTATGCATACAGGTAAACATTCATAAAAAGCTCCTAATTGTATATCAGTATTTTGCCCATGGTTTGAATGGTTTATTATTCTTGAGAGAAAAGGAAATCTCCACTCATTTCATCTGACCTGTTTCAGTAGATGGAAGTTCAAGTTTGAAATTTCAGTCAAAAATTGAGGATTGGTAAAG